AAATCAGCCAAAAACCTACAGTGCGGGGAGGGGAGATGAAGAGTCGCGAAGCCAAAAAATCTCAGAGAAAAAAAGATGGGGCGGAGATGGAGGGGAGAAATTCTGAGAAAACTGAAGCGTGCATAATTTAATTACCTGTATTACAACCCACTCTGAGATTTGTTTACAGTGTGTATGCAGCAGTGAACAGAGCGCATTTGGATTTTAGTGCAGCAAGAGAACGTACATGTCCACACAAGGCACAGCGAGAGACTTGGGCTTGATACAGCTTAGATCTGGATCATATAAGATAAGGATATGTATGTTGAAGTGAATATAAATGAATGGGAGGATGTAAAAAAAAAAGTATATTATTGTTTTAGTTAAAAGGTCCTACATGTTATTGTTACCTCATTAAAAACATACCTGGAGTTTTATTTCATTCACACATGTTTGAGTAGTCCTTTATTATTAGTCTGTCTACATCTCCAAAGAAACTCAAACTATTCTGTTCCACCTTGTGATGTCTTAAGTTTTCAAGTTAACAGCTACATTTTATCTTTAGTTCAGTAGAGATTGACAATTCCAAATGATTCTAGTGAAGGTGCATGGAGTTTAAAAACTCAGTGGAGCACTTTCTGTATTATCACATGACATCACAATGTGGAACAGAAAGCCTAAATATGCAGAGTATGAGACTTAAACATGTGTGAATGAAACAAAACTATGCTTTTGATGAGGAAACAGAAATATAACAGATTATAGGCCCTTGAAATGTTTATATATTATGTGTAGTTCTTTTTGAGTAAGAATCATATAAGAAAAATGTAAATAACGTGTTTTAAATTCCATGTTTTAAATTGCTGTGCTATAGGCTCTCCACACAAAAGCATCTCGTTTAAGCTTATGGTGCATTTTGTTTTACGAAATACATACCATTATATGTATAAAATGCATTCAAGGACTGTGTTGCAGGTAACATTTATGTATATGCTTCAAATAAAACTATTGCAAGGAGTGTAAGGAGTGAGTCGCAGTGAATCAGTATAAGCAATTATAGAACTAACTGGTCGAAGTAACTTTCACCAACATACAGAAAACCTGATTACATTTTACCAAGCCCCAATTCACTTTTTACAGCCTTATTTCCTGTTTAAACACATCTTTGAAAACGAAGCAGTTGGCGGCACTGATTTGCAATGTCAAGCATCGCAGCTTCAATGTAGCCGTCAGTATCTCCTGTTTGAATGTCAACAAGCAGAACTATCTTGTTCTAAGATTCACACATTATTACGCCTTTTGGAGCATATTGATTTCATTAATATTTGAAGGGCTTGATATGGAGGTAAAGGCCCTCGCCATGAAGATGTTTCTGAATTCTTGAACAAGCCGTGTAAAAGGGTGAGGCAAGGTCTAAGGATTTCACCTTCTTTTGATTTTTCACTCCACCATTAGTCATGGCTAAACACACCCATAGTCGAGTATTGGACTGGTAACAAATCACCCTCCTAGATTCTAGCAGATCGAACTTTCTATTCACCTGTATTTCTGCTGGATTTTTTTTTTCTGATTCATCTTTTTACTTTTCATCTTTGCAGCAAGCAGGTAAATGACGTTTCCGGACCATGCTGCTGCCTCACCTATAAAAAGCTGCAGTTCATGGTAGTGAGCAGTAGTGGATTTTTAATATATTTTTGTGGGGCTTCACAACACTGCTCAATCCTGCCACTACAGAAAAAAAGGAAAAAATTGGAAGGTAGTACAGAGCAGAAATACAGAGCAGCATGGGGGGCCGGGCCTTTCAAACAAGCTTGAATGACTCAAAATACCCCTTTAAGTGAGTTAATGAGGAAGGGAAACAATTATAACATGCTTAGACACTTTTGAAAGTCAATTTTGCATAATATGTTGAATAGGTTGAATATTAAAAATAGCAAAACCAAATATAAAAGAAATAATAAGACCTGCCCATGTTTTGAAGCCTTTGTGAGAGGTGTGTGTGTGTGTGTGAATGGCGTGTGTGTGTGTGTGTCTGTGTGTGTGTGTGTGGAGGTGAAGGCATTAAGCAGGTATCAGGTTGTGTTTCCATCTGCTCCAGCGCGGGCTCTGATAGTCCTATTATTTAATCTGCTGGTCATTCTAGACGCCAGGCAAGAGCCGTTTAGGCACACATAATTGAATGGTTCAGTGTGGGAGATCGCCAAGGCTGTCTGTATGGGCCCTGGTGCCAGCCCTATACTCCATATACAGACAGTGCAAGACAAATGCACACAGGAACTGTCAGGAAGGCAGCCATGATTTATGAGACTTAATGAGCGTGAAGCAAATAGTCTCACTGGATCTTGTTTTTATCATAAGTCGACAAAAACCTCCAAACAAGAAAGTATTTTGCAACCTTTTTAACAATTCACAAAGGATTCTAAAAAAAAAAAGAAAAAGAAAAAAAAAAAAAAAGGAAATTGTAAATAAATTGTTTAGTGTGCTAACCACAGCACTGGTGGTCCCATCTTTTATGGATTACTGTGTTATATTCTGTGGTGTAAAGATCCATATCTATTTTCAAAAATTCTCCCTCGGTGAATATAGATTTATATATTGTATCTTTCAATAGGAGCAGTAGCAGCTGTGGCAGTTTACAATACAATACAAGCAGTTTTAACGTACAATTGCGCACTTATATTTCTGTTGACTACTGTTTCTTTAGAGTAAGTCTGTAATGAAATAGATTTAGAAAACTCTTCAGACATGTTTGTGTTACATAGCTACCAGTGGTTGGGCAAACTGGGGGAAATCCCAAGACCCAAGACCTTAGCTCATATTTAGTGACATGATTCAATAATGTGTTTACTTTTCAAGAGAGCTGTTCTTATCATGTGCACTATATAAAAGATATAGTTTTAGAAAGAACATTTTCCCAGACTTGTTTAACTAACACCCACTTGTGGTTAAAAACAGGCATAATTACAGTAAACCAATGTAACTAGTCTGACATGATGAAATTTTGCAGTTACATAAACACGCCGCTACTGTAAACTATCTTTTGGCACTGCCTTGAGTCCACATAGTTTAACCACCGAGGCCAAAATGAGCTCTTAAATCAACCAAGTCTCCACCCTCAACCTCCAGCCATCTATCATACTCCATATTGGCTCAGTTTTGGAAAGATTCTCACAGTTGTCGTAGATGCTGTAGCCTTCCCTGTCCCACGAATATTACGCTCGGCCGAACACAACCTCACTGACTGTTATCACAGGGTCAGAGGTCATCAGGCCATCTGTCATCATTTGAGACCATTCTTCTTCTACATCCTTCCCGAGGACATTCCCGGTGAGTATTGTGTCATCACTCAGCCACTCATATGAACTCAAAGAGAAGCAGCCACACACAGCCTGGAGTTTTCAAACAATTCTGATACTGAAGATAGTGTGGCTTGTGCCTAAATCCAGCTAAACATTTCTTAAAGGTACTATATTATGCAAAATGGACTCTTGTGAGCTTTAAGCCATATTATAACGCTGTTTCCTCTGCAAAAACATGCATGGAGTTGTGTTTTATTTCATTTAGACATGTTTGAGCAACCCTTTATTATTGGTCTGACTCCATCTCCAAAGCTCAAAATGCTCTGTGATGTCATGAAGCGGTAGTTTTCAGATTAACAACTACCTTTTACTTTTTGTCCATTAGAGAATCCAGGGTTGAAATTATTCAAATGATTCTAGAGATGGTGTATAGAGTTTAAAAACACAGTGGAGCACTCCCTGTATTGCCACATGACATCAAGAGGTGGAACAAAGTGTTTTCCATCTGAGAGAAGATGTGCCTCCTTTCAATTTCATTTCTCTTCAGCGAATAGGTCAGGAATCGGAATACACTAGACAGTTCGCAAGAACCCCGGAGGTTTTAGACCACGCACCGGCCAATCAGCGAAGAACTGAACCAACCCAAGTTGCAATAGCAGACTGCATATCCTCCTTTGGACTTCCTTTGTCAAATACAAACTTCGCTTTTTTTATTGCACCTTTAATTCACAAGTTCATCTCGCAGAAACGACAATTATTGTTGACAGACTTGTTTACACTCTGCTTTGTTTGCTGTTGTGTGGGAAATTACTTGGACACCACTAAGCATTACATACGTCACAACCAAATAGCAGCGATTGGGTAAATAAAGTACCCGCTTACCACCGTGCGAACAAATTCTAATGCTGCGAGGTCAGACGATTTCCACAAAGTGAAACCGGCAGATGAATCAGGGTAGAATAATGTAGGATTTGTGTGTTAAACATGACTCGAGTGAATGAAACAAAACACAACTCCAGGAATGTTTGTGACAAGGAAACAACAGAGATCAGAAAATAGAATTATACAGGCCCTTTAACATCCCCCTAAAGTTTTTGGAAATGCATTTTACAGCATAATAGTAATAAAGCTAAAAGTACTCGCAGTTTACACATCTTAATGCCAAGCTATGTCCACACTGACTGTAGAGCTCCTATCTGTTATCACTACACAGGGCTGCACCAGTGGACCATGAAATAAAGTTAATTAGTGAATAGTTTTAGACACTTAGCCCACTGTTTTTTTGTTAAGTAAGTTAATTAAGAGAGTCGATGCAAGCTTCTAAACTGCAGCCTTCTCTATTAGAATATATTGTAATTGTCTTTTAAGAGAGAAACCAATATTTTCATCAAGCTAATTTATTATGTGTAAGCAGCTAATACTTTCACATTTGATTCATATAAAATAGATGGCTAATAATTATAATGCGAAAGGCAGTAAAAAGTCAGTTTGACACTTTGCAAAGTTGTCAAATATCTGTTAATGACGGGAACATTGTGCACTAGTCAACAGTCACTGGTTGTACAGTACACCACCACTAACAATGCTGTTATGGGCGTATGGTGCAATGATGTATGTTAGAGTGAATCAGACATTGCCCTAGTTTCTTTTTTTTTTTTTTTTTTTTTACGCTGATACCACAGAAAAATCACCAAAAAGCAATACTCTGTAAAAGATACTTACTATATGGCACACATTCATACTGGACTTCCAGATACTTGTATGTCCCAGGACAGGGGTCAGGGAATACATCAGGACCGGCCACCACTGCACACTGCGTTCGATTGTTGCATCTGAAAAAAGAAAGAAAAACACACTGATTAAGACTGGGGGTGTTCTGCGTGTATCTCTAATGGTGGAATGCTTAGGAGTTACCATGGTGACACAATGCACACATGAGCAAAGATAAAAAAATTAAAGGGACAGTCCGTAAATTTGGACATAGGACCTTATTTCGTAGTGAGCCAGAGTGTTGGAGACACGTGGAGACACTTTTTTAAATATTCCATGCAGTCCTTGTATTTGCAGAGGTCGCTGGTGCTAGGCTAGTGCATGTCAATGGCTATAGTTAGCCTGCCACTAAAAACCCTTACCGTCTTACCCACTCCACAAAACAAACAAAGCAAATCTGTTATTATGCCACGATGTTCATTTCTGTGTCAGTAGATTAATTTTAGAAGTAAACCAACCTTGCATTTGAAGGATTTATAGATGAACAGCAACAAGATGTACTTCCTGACAAAAAGCTTGGCAGCGGCGAATTGATATATGAGAAAATAGTCCCTCAACATGCAACGATTCATGCGATGTAAGGTTAGTTTTATTTCAGACATTATTCTATCAACACAGACATTTACATTGACAGTCTGGCATAATAACAGATTTGCTTTGGGTGCTTTGTGGAGTGGGTAAGACTGTTTTTAGAGGCAGGATAACTATGGCCATTGACATGTGCTAGCCTAGCACCAGCGAACTCTGCAAATACAAGGACTGGATAGAATATTTTAAAAAAGTGTCTCCACACGTCTCCAACACTCTGGCTAATTAGAAAATGACGTCCTGTGTCCAAAATTTCAGACTGTCTCTTTAACAGAGTCTGAAAACTCAAGAAAAAATAAATAAATCAATGCTAGCTATCTTGTCACTGTAATATTATGTGAGAGAGACTTGTTTAACACCACAAATCATCTCACTTGTTGTAGCTCCAGCCAAGTCAGCTCTGTCTGGTCAGATGGTCTTAAAATAAAACTCAGACTGCAGTCTAACTTGAGTAACAAAGCTTCAAACAGCAGTGCTTTCAGTTAGCATCAGCCCCAGGACATCAGTAACTATCAATATGAGCAGGATATAAAGCCCATTACAACACTCATAATATCACCCACCTAAATACAAAGTCAAGAATAATGTATTGCTCTCAATTTTAAAATGGAAGCTTAACCGTGACCCAGACTTGAATTATGTGCATTGAAGAACCCTTAGGCTGATAAGAGTGCACACTATCTTCTCACAGTACACCTTTTCACTAATAAAATCATTATATTCAGTTAAAAACAAGGCAGCCTACAAAGGGACTGAGGGGCAATTACACAAGAGGACTTAAGTGTGGGCATCTTTCTTTACTATTTTGCATTAGCTGTGAGCACACTAACCTATGGCTTTAAAAGTAGTTTGGCCTAGACTTCTAATAATTAATTCTAATCACCAAGGGGGCCCTCTCCTTTGACAGGCTAAATGTGTTTCAGTATTTCATTAGCACACTTAAGGCAGACATATACATGAGGTGAGTGCGTATTAGCAAGGTGAGGGGAATGCTGTTAAGTAAAGGTGATTAGAAATATATTTAATTTCTGTAATATACTGGTAAAAAATATGTGTCAGTTGTGATGTTGCTAAAGGAATCTATCCCCTCATACTGTATGCATATAAGAGACAGACTGATAATATTTGCACTTTTTAGAGAATCTCCAGCACATTCCGATATTTTGTTTTGGCCGATCTGCTGTCTAAAGAGTACACACAATGCTTTATTTGAAAATTTTAGTGCAAATAGATAACTGCTTAAAATGTGAATACACAGTCCTCTTGAAGGTTTGTCGTAAAAAGGGACTGGGTGAGTGGCCTTGCATGTCCAAAAATATTGGCAGCACTTATCGGCCATTGATTGCTCTGGATTAAAAAAAAAAAAAAAAAAAGAAAAGAAAAAAAGTGAATTTAATTTGATTTACAATGTCTAGAGAGTGAGGGTGAAAATTTGTGAATTAACAATAATCTATTTTGTGTAGGTCAATATAAGTGATGTTATTTTATTCATTAGCACTTTGGTACCACATTATAATGACTATACTTAATTAGCTTTAATAAAACATGAATCAATACTTAATTCATACTGTTCATAATAATTCATGTCTTTGTTCATGCTTTATTAAGGCTATTATTATAAAGAGTTAGCAGTAGTTTTACATAATGTCACTGGCTGTGACATCTGGCAAAAAATCTGACAGATCATCAGCTGTGGCCACTCTTGACAGAAAAGGGGAAGCAATAATATAGTAGTTATATAGAAGCGCCAGACAAACATTTATTGTAATCATAGCGGTCTCTTTGACAGACTGAAGTATGTCAGTATTTCATTAGCGCAGGTTAAGGGTGTTGTTTACATGGGGTATGTCCTTTTCTTTGCCATGCAATGTGTAAAAATAAATGGCATTTATGTTTTCATAATTACACTTGCTGAGACCATTCTTCATAATCAAAGCTAATTGAGAGCGGGACAATGTACCACATAAATTAACCAGACAGACACATGTAATAATGTAGAATGTGAGCTTACACAAGGTGATGCTTTATCTCCATTGCACTCCTTCTTGCTGTTAATAATTATTGGAACAAGCCAAGACTAATACATTATGTGGATGGATTGTATAATTTGAATATATGTGTGTATTCTGAGGGGTATTATGAAACCATTTCTCTTCTCATCTGAATATATTCTTTCAATTATTAGTCCTCTCTCCACTCTCTCCTCTCAGTGCACCTGTCAGGCAGCGACATTTACATTAAAAACATTCCCATTCTCCCATTGAGATATTTTTAATGAACCGAACGCCAAACCCCTCAAGTTTCTCTTTCTCACTGTATCATTCTCCAATTTGCATAATGAAATATGCATGGGAGCTAATTTAATTTTTTGTCTTACATCTGCAGTACTAATATGAACTTCAGTATCGATTGCAGTCCGGTGTCAAGTTACTGCCCAGTGGTCGAGCAATGTCTCATGGTCACCTTTAGAAAACAATCTTAAAGCCCACTCCGTTGCCATGACGTTCATATTGCCATGATGTTCATATTCTAATAGCAATGGCCGCCAGTCTTCTCACTCCTCGCTCACTTCTTCTCGCGCCTCTGTGCCTTTTAATTTCTTGCCCCGGCGCCTCCATCATCGGTCACCTGTCATGGCGCTGCCGTTGTGGACCGCGGGCAACGTACAATGACAACTCTGCCCATAACACGTACATACAACATCATTGTCTGGATCATAGTGAATCAGAGCACACGGGCCAGTGAGATGACCTGGATTTGGAGTTGGGTGAATAAAACTACCAAGAAAAAATATATTGAATAGCTGCACTGATACTGCCAATTTTGCTGGATCGGATATCGCTTTACAAATATCGGTTCAGGCGACATCCTGGTTGGACGTATAAATTGATGCAATGAGACTACTTAATGGTCGTCGTTGGGCAAGAAAGTCTTCAAATTTTTTAGTTTTTATTTATACAACGCTGTTCTGTGGTTAGTGAAGTTAAATAACAGCTACATAGCACATTTGGATCAATTCTGTCTATATTTCATTTTAAGGAAATATATATTGTTTTCAGCCTCTGTACTGGTGTTATTTTATATCGGGTATCACCAGAAACTTAAAGCTATAGTATCGGAATCAGTATCAGAACTGAAAAAATGGGATCTTTAATAGAGTGGCATGCAGAATGACGTGCACAAATGAATTGGTATATGGAGTTGTTAAAAAATGCTCAGATACTAAAACTAGTCTCTAAAACAGACATAGATTTAAAATACTGATACTATGGCTGCAAGATTAATCGCAATCAAATCGAAATTGCAATCTGAATTAGCAGATTGCAAAGGCTGTAATTTTTCAAGTACCAATTTTTTTTTCCACAAACAACAAAATATCCTGTCTGTGATCTTTGAACAGAATCATATTATTAAAATTTAATCATGATATTTGTAAAAAAAAAAAAAAAAAATACTATTCAATTTTTCCTCAAATCCTTCAACCCTATTTGACCTTTCCAGAGTAGTTAGCGTGGCCTTGAAGTATGAGAACTAGTAACAGAATATTGTAGTAACAAAATTAGGTTTGGAGTATCAAGCCTTTTCCAAGAATAAAATCTAAAATAGAATCTTTAAAATTTCTGACATTGGCAAATATTTTTGTTATTTTCGTGTGTCTGATCCAGAGGGAAGCCTAAGTGAATCGCTGGCATTTCCTCCATCCTCTACAAACAGAACATCATTACTTTAACTCAACTGCCTATGTTGTTATGATACTAAAAATCTGAACTCAATTTCCATACCTGACTCCAATTTCAATATCACAATGATGATTAAAAACACTCCTCTAGAACACAATACATCATTTTCAACACAAAACAAGATACATTCAGTTCATATTACCAGCTACATCTACACCATTCTAAAACTATTCAGCAAAGGTCCTATGATACTAGGCTCGGTATCAGTATTTTTATTTATCTATTTTTGTCAACTAGCATATGATCATTTTCTGTATTTCCATGTTCATGACCATTCCACCACCATTCATTTGATATTACCAGTGAGATTCAGACCATTTTAAAACTACTCAGTAAAGACCTATGATACTAAAATTAAGGTACATGTTTTGGTCATCCCTTGCCCCATCCCTATATTTCCCTGTTCATGACCATTCCACCACCATTCATTTGATGTTACCAGCCAGACCAGCCATTCTAAAACTATGCAGCAAAGATACTATGATATTAGTTTCAGTATCGATTAGTATCTACTAGTAGGTGTAAAATTCTTTGTCAACCTTAGCGTATGATCATTTTCAATTTTCAGTGTCCATAACCATTTCACCACCATTATGATTTTACCAGCTAGATTTAGACCATTCTAAAACTATTCAGCAAAGATCTAGGATACTAAAATTTAAGTACATTTTTTGTCAACCCTAGCATATGATAATTTTCTGTTTCCATGTTCATAACCATTCCACCACGCGTGC